TTTTATACAGAAAAGTTGATCAGATTGTGATTAACTTTTATACGAAAGTTGATCAGATTGTGATCAACTTTTATACAAAATAGTTGATCAGATTAGATCAACTTTTATACAAAATATTGATCAGAAAAGTTGATCAGATTGTGATCAACTTTTATACAGAAAAGTTGATCAGATTGTGATCAAATTTTATACAGAAAAGTTAATCAGATTGTGATTAACTTTTATACAAAAAAGTTGATCAGATTGTGATCAAATTTTATACAGAAAAGATGTGATCACTTTTATACAGAAAAGTTGATCAGATTGTGATCAACTTTTTACAGAAAAGTTGATCAGATTGTGATTAACTTTTACATAAAGTTGATCAGATGTGATCAAATTTATACAGAAAAGTTAATTAGATTGTGATCACTTTTATACAGAAAAGTTGATCAGATTGTGATCAACTTTTATACAGAAAAGTTGATCAGATTGTGATTAACTTTTATACAGAAAAGTTGATCAGATTGTGATTAACTTTTACAGAAAAGTTGATCAGATTGTGATCAACTTTTTATACAAATAGTTGATCAGATTACGATCAACTTTTATACAAAATAGTTGATCAGAAAAGTTGATCAGATTGTGATCAACTTTTATACAGAAAAGTTGATCAGATTGTGATCAACTTTTATACAGAAAAGTTGATCAGATTGTGATCAACTTTTATACAGAAAAGTTGATCAGATTGTGATCACTTTTACAGAAAAGTTGATCAGATTGTGATTAACTTTTATACAAAATAGTTGATCAGATTACGATCAACTTTTATACAAAATAGTTGATCAGATTGTGATCAACTTTTATAGAAAATTGATCAGATTGTGATCAACTTTTATACAAAAAATTGATCAGATTGTGATCAACTTTATACAGAAAGTTGATCAGATTGTGATCAACTATATTCAGAAAAGTTGATCAGATTGTGAAAAGTTAATCAGATTGTTATTAACTTTTATACACAAAAGTTGATCAGATTGTGATCAAATTTTATACAGAAAAGATGTGATCAACTTTTATACAGAAAAGTTGATCAGATTGTGATCAACTTTTATACAGAAAAGTTGATCAGATTGTGATTAACTTTTTACATAAAAGTTGATCAGATGTGATCAAATTTTACAGAAAAGTTAATTAGATTGTGATCACTTTTATACAGAAAAGTTGATCAGATTGTGATTAACTTTTATACAGAAAAGTTGATCAATTGTGATCAACTTTTATACAAAATAGTTGATCAGATTACGATCAACTTTACAAATAGTTGATCAGATTGTGATCACTTTTATACAAATAGTTGATCAAATTGAGTTGATCAAATAGATCAACTTTTATGCAGAAGAGTTGATCAGATTGTGATCAACTTTTATACAAAATAGTTGATCAGATTGCGATCAACTTTTATACAGATAAGTTGATCAGATTGGTGATCAACTTTTATAGACAAAAGTTAATCAGATTGCGATCAACTTTTATACAGAAAAGTTGATCAGATTGTTATCAACTTTTATACAGAAAAGTTAATCAGATTGTGGATCAACTTTTATACAGAAAAGTTAATAAGAGTGTGATCACTTTTATACAGAAAAGTTGATCAGAATGTGATCAACTTTATACAGAGAAAGTTGATCAGATTGTGATCAACTTTTATACAGAAAAGTTGATCAGATTGTGATCAACTTTATACAGAAAAGTTGATCAAGATTGTTGATCAAGCTTTTATACAGAAAAGTTGATCAGATGGTGATTACTTTTATACAGAAAAGTTGATCAGATTGTGATCAACCCTTATTCAAAATAGTTGATCAAATTGAGTTGATCAAATTGAGATCAACTTTTATGCAGAAGAGTTGATCAGATTGTGATCAACTTTTATAACAAAATAGTTGATCAGATTGCGATCAACTTTTATACAGATAAGTTGATCAGATTGTGATCAACTTTATAGACAAAAGTTAATCAGATTGCGATCAACTTTATACAGAAAAGTTGATCAGATTGTTATCAACTTTTATACAGAAAAGTTAATCAGATTGTGATCAACTTTTATACAGAAAAGTTAATAGATTGTGATCAACTTTTATACAGAAAAGTTGATCAGAATGTGATCAACTTTTATATAGAATAGTTGATCTTTTATACAGAAAAGTTGATCAGATTGTTATCAGCTTTTACATTACATTTGATCAGATAAACTAATAATTGATTTATTTCCAGTTTCCAAAGGTTGGCTTCAATACATGAAACGTTTACCAGAAGTTGTAGAATGTATAAGTGGTTATCCTGTACTATATCAAGATGTAACCAAAGATAAAAACAGTGAAAAATTTTCCGATATGGAAACCTTATGTGCTTGGCGTACAATTAGTCTAAGATTCCCCAAAATAAGTAAGTTCACATTAAAAAAAAAGGCATTTACCAAAATTAACAACTCAAATCTTATCCCTTTAGCTGGTATTCAAGAAATATGGGCTTCCATTAAAACTTGTTTCTGTCAATACATGACAGATTTGGAATTTGCTATAGATAATAAATGGCCTATTAATTGGTGGCGAGCTTTAGCCAGATTGAAATTCTTAGTGGAAGCCAGATATACATCAAGTGAACCATTCTATTATATAGTCAGTAATAAAATGATGGAGGAAATTGAAAGATGCGCCATGTTGGAAATGAAAAATAGATATAAAATGGTGAGTTTAAAAAATTAGCAAAGATTTGGGTATTTATTTAATGTTTAAAAAATCTGTTATTATACAGATAATGCTCCAAAAGCTGAAATTGAGAAATTGAGTATTGAATTGGAAGAGGCTGTTACAAAAACAAATGATATCATGGCTTCAGTTCCTAATGACAAAAAAGAAGTAGAACTGGGTTCCTTAATAACCGCCATACAAAAACATCCTGTAATAATAGGTAAAGCAGACAATGTGGTTAAATATGAAGCATGGAAAAAGTTGCCAAGGAATTACATATGGAAGGTAATTTTAATAAATACATTTTAATTTATTAAACAAAAAAGTATTAATTGATTTATGTTTTTTTTAGTAACCGACTGTCTGTTAGCCTTTAAACATGCCACACAAATGTATTTTGCCTACAAGAAACAAGATCCCGTCAGTCGTTGCCGTATTAATGAAAGATATTATAAAAAATTAGATGAGATTATACGCAATCTACAGCAGAATAAATCATCATCATTATCAACAGCCGCTTCTACATCCAGTCGTTGTAAATTAAATATAAAAACTCCCTTTGAATTAAATCGTAGTCTAGAATCGGAAAAACATCGAATTCAACTGATTCAGAATTAGTATTTCCCGAACGTTATATCAGTGATATTAGCATGTCAAATAGTCCTAGTACTTTAGTGGTTAAAAATTGGGTTTATGCCATCGGTAATTTAGGTGCCCAGTTTAATGATAATCATCATGTAAAATTAAAATCAATTTTAAACAAATATTTACCTCATGTTAAATGGGGTAATGTAGGTGAATAGATTTTTTTTTAATACATATTATTAAGATTGTTGTAATTATGTTTTTAACTTGTTTCTCTTTAAATTTTTCATTGTTATCTAAATCTATACTTTTTGGTATTGATATTATTTTTTTGAAAAAAAACTCCTTTTTGTAGTTTTAAGTTCATATGTATATGAAGGATATTCTAATGATATTCCAATAAATTTTGTGGAATAAAATCTATGAACAATTTGAAAATAAGTGTATTTGTTTTTGTTTATAAAATTAAATTTTGATATAATATTAAACAAGTGTATACAAATTATCGATACAGTGAAGTTATCGATAAAATTGCTAGGAAAAAAACTAAAGATATTGAAAAGCTTTCTATACAAAGTTAAAATTATTGAGTACTTTTAGTTTTTCTTAAAAAAATTATAATTTTGATTAATTTTCTATAGTAAAGGATAGTTCTTGTATTGAGAAAAATTAACTTTTTCCATAAATATTTCAAATATATTTGAAAATTCCTATAGAAAATTATAAATGAAGCAAATTTTTAACATATATTCTTAAGTTATGTAAATTCTCATTATTATGTGATATATTACAGTTATCGATAACAAAAATTAAATTTTTTTGGTAAGAATTTGTTTTATAATGTAAATTTCACCTTAATAATGAAAGTTTAACAACAGCCTAAGTTAAAAAATTCCACATTAAGTCATTTAATAAATTCTTTTAATAAATGCAAAACAGATGTTATATTTTTGCCAAAACTAAAGTCTATTAAAATTTCCGTATTAATCATATTTAATAACACTTTACAAAGATTTTCTATAGAACTTCATTAAACAATAAAACAATCTGTGAAACTATTTCAATCATTCAAAACTATTTATGCTTGAAGAAATGTTTACACAAATAATTTATGCAAACGACATTATTTTCTTAACATACAAATGTTTTGTCTCTTGGCAAATTTACATATTTATGCCATAAATATTTTTAATACCGTATAAAATTCATAAGTTATGGTTGAAATGAACAAAAGAAGAAGAAACGAGAACTATATATAGTATTTAAAGTTAATAATTGATTAAAAGACTATTTGGCTCCAGTAATCAATCGTTAAAAGACTGAAGTGAAAAGTATTAAATCACATAAATAAAAATCTTAAATTTTAACAATTATTTCGAAAATGTAAGTTATCGAAAGATTTTATGGATAAAAAAAAGTTATGAGGTAAAAGTTATCGATCAATTTATTGTAAGTTTCAGGACTTTTCTTTGGGAAAAAAAATATATCGATCGATAACTTTTCTCTTGTCAGTAAAGTCATCGACGGATGTCTTTACTTTTCTATAGAAAAGTAATTTTAATAATTATTCCGAAAATTTATGTTATCGAAAGATTTTATGTTAAATTGAAATTATAGCATAATTTTTATAAAAAAAAGTTATGAGGTAAAAGTTATCGATCAATTTATTGTAAGTTTCAGGACTTTTCTTTGGGAAAAAAAGATATCGATCGATAACTTTTCTCTTGTCAGTAAAGTCATCGACGGATGTCTTTACTTTTCTATAGAAAAGTAAAGATATCGATCGATATATTTACCATTTCTACAGAAAAGTTATCGATCGATATCTTTACCTTTTCTGTAGAAAAGTTATCGATCGATATCTTTACCTTTTCTATAGAAAAGTTATCGATCGATATCTTCACCTTTTCTATAGAAAATTTATCGATCGATATCATTACCTTTTCTATAGAAAATTTATCGATCGATATCTTTACCTTTTCTATAGAAAAGTTATCGATCGATATCTTTACCTTTTCTATAGAAAATTTATCGATCGATATCTTTAGCTTTTCCATAGAAAAGTTATTGATCGATATCTTTAGCTTTTCTATAGAAAAGTTATTGATCGATATCTTTACCTTTTCTATAGAAAAGATATCGATCGATATCTTTACCTTTTCTATAGAAAAGTTATCAATCGATATCTTTACCTTTTCTATAGAAAAGTTATCGATCGATATCTTTACCTTTTCTATAGAAAAGTTATCGATCGATATCTTTACCTTTTCTATAGAAAAGTTATCGATCGATATCTTTACCTTTTCTATAGAAAAGTTATCGATCGATATCTTTACCTTTTCTATAGAAAAGTTATCAATCGATATCTTTACCTTTTCTATAGAAAAGTTATCGATCGATATCTTTACCTTTTCTATAGAAAAGTTATCGATCGATATTTTTACCTTTTCTATAGAAAAGTTATCGATCGATATTTTTACCTTTTCTATAGAAAATTTATCGATCGATATCTTTACCTTTTCTATAGAAAAGTTATCGATCGATATCTTTACCTTTTCTATAGAAAATTTATCGATCGATATCTTTAGCTTTTCCATAGAAAAGTTATTGATCGATATCTTTAGCTTTTCTATAGAAAAGTTATTGATCGATATCTTTACCTTTTCTATAGAAAAGATATCGATCGATATCTTTACCTTTTCTATAGAAAAGTTATCGATCGATATCTTTACCTTTTCTATAGAAAAGTTATCGATCGATATCTTTACTTTTCTATAGAAAAGTTATCGATCGATATCTTTACTTTTCTATAAAAAAGATATCGATCGATATATTTAGCTTTTCCATAGAAAAGTTATCGATCGATATTTTAAGCTTTTCTATAGAAAAGTTATCGATTGATATCTTAAGCTTTTCTATAGAAAAGTTATCGATCGATATCTTTACCTTTTCTATAGAAAAGTTATCGATCGATATCTTTACCTTTTCTATAGAAAAGTTATCGATCGATATCTTTACCTTTTCTATAGAAAAGTTATCGATCGATATCTTTACCTTTTCTATAGAAAAGTTATCGATAGATATCTTTACCTTTTCTATAGAAAAGTTATCGATCGATATCTTTAGCTTTTCTATAGAAAAGTTATCGATCGATATCTTTAGCTTTTCTATAGAAAAGTTATTGATCGATATCTTAACCTTTTCTATAGAAAAGTTATTGATCGATATCTTAAGCTTTTCTATAGAAAAGTTATTGATCGATATCTTAAGCTTTTCTATAGAAAAGTTATTGATCGATATCTTTACCTTTTCTATAGAAAAGTTATCGATCGATATCTTTACCTTTTCTATACAAAAGTTATCGATCGATATCTTTACCTTTTCTATAGAAAAGTTAGCTTTTAAGTTTAAATTTGTCCAGAGAATATTCGAGGTAAAGATCAATTCCTTATAGAACATTGAAATTAATGATCAACGTTCCATAGAAAATGATCACAATAGTTAAGTTATCTAAAGCCGCCTTTAAAAACATAAATTTGCTTATATTTTCCCCTTCAACATCTTGCTGCTCTGGTGTTGTTGTTGCATTCAATATCGAATTGTATTTAATTTTTTTTTTTAAATAATACAACGACACCTTCTCCATATAAAACAAGCAAAAAAATAACGTTTTATTTCACTGCTACTGCTATAAATGATGTTGCTTGATCACTGACTGACTGTAAGAATAGATCTTTAGTTGGTTTTGATCGAACGTTTGACAAAATGCTAAGTCAGTTGTTTGGTCATTTAACAAATTGAATAAAATTGTTGTTGCAACACTCTTCATACCAACAACATATGCACATAAATACAAAACTTTTAACAATTGATGGCATAAAAATAATGTCCGTTACAAATCACTTCATACCAATACATTTATAAACATGAAGACCAAAATCGAAAAAAATAAGAAAGAAAGATGGCGAAAAGTTATCAACCACTTGTCAACCTAAAGCAGCAACAAAAGTCCAAGTCTTTTCTTCTTTTCTTCGCTTACAATGACTTTTTCTTTGTCTTGTTCTCTTTTGTTATTTTGTTTTCTTTTTTTTTGATCAAGTCATGATGGCTTTAAGACTATTTTAGCCAAAAGATGAATGTTTGGTTTATGGCTTTTTAAATAAACGTCTTTTTCGTGTATGAGTGCGTATGTTTTTAAATAGTGTTTTAAAGTTTTTTATTACCATTAAAACGCAATTATTATTCATGATACATTACAGAAAGTACATACACACTCACATACAGAAAAAAGTAACTGAAGAAGCAACAGAAGCAGCAGCATTTCTCTTTGGGGCACAATACTTGCCCCGTCTTTAAGCCATACTCAACAACAACAACAGCAACAATAACTTCTTATTCTTCTTTACCCAATGTAATGCCAATTGATCTTTGATGACTTTTCTTGATAAATATTTTCCTCGTGTGTCTGTCTTTTTGTCAGTGCTTAAACGTAAGTCTGTCTGTGTTAAAGATTGCTTCTGTATTCATGGGTTGGTTTTCTGTTGGCCTCAGTTAACTGAAGTTGGTTAATATAAAGCGAGGGAGTGTGTAAGTTGTTGCGGTTTTGGATGCAT